CCCCCAACTTTTCCCCCTTTTCCCACGTTTTTTCCCCCCACTTCCCCCAACTTTTCCCACAAGTTTCCCCACTCTCCCCACAACATTCCCCCAACTTTTCCCCCTTTCCCCACAGTTTTCCCTCAACTTTTCCCCCTTTTCCCATGTTTTTTCCCCCAACTTTTCCCCCTTTTCCCACATTTTTCCCCAACTTTTCCCCCTTTTCCCACCTTTTCCCTGTCCGTTTTCCAGGTGGGAACGCCGCCGTCCAGCCGGGCGGGCAGTCCCTGCTGCTGGCGCAGAGCTCCCCTTTTCCTTCTTTTCCCACTCAATTTTCCCCACTTTTCCACTCAATTTTTCCCACTTTCCCCCTCTTCCCACTCAATTTTTCCAACTATTCCCACTAACTTTTCCCTTTCCCCACTGTTTTATCCCCCCACGCTCCCCCAACTTTTCCCCCTTTTCCCACATTTTTTCCCCCAACTTTCCCCCCAACATTCCCCCAACTTTTCCCCCTTTTCCCACATTTTTCCCCAACTTTTCCCCCTTTTCCCACCTTTTCCCTGTCCGTTTTCCAGGTGGGAACGCCGCCGTCCAGCCGGGCGGGCAGTCCCTGCTGCTGGCGCAGAGCCCCGCGCCCGGCCTGGGCGCCGTGGTGACGCAGCCGCTGCTGCGGCCGGTGCAGCTGATGCAGAACGCCAACCACGGCACCAACCCTCCCGCGGGCACCCAGCCCATCTTCATCACCACCCAGGTGAGCTCCACAGCGCCAAATCCATGGAAAATCCCTGGAAAAACACCCCGGGAATTCCAGCTTCTCGCTCCGTTCTTGCGCGCTGCTGCTTTTCCGCCGCGCCTTTTTTTCCGTTGCGCCAAAAATCCCCCCCGGGGTTGGAATTGGGGTTAGACCCCAAAACCTCAAACCTTGGCAGATTTTATTTTCCTGGGAAGAGCCTCTCACCTGGAATTCCATGGAAAATCCATGAAAACTCCTCTTTCCTGGGATAAAAAATCCCTTTTTTCAGTGATTTTTTTTAAAGCTGTTTTCTCAACGTGCCAAAATCCACTTGGGGCTGTGGGATGGGGGTTGGACCTTGCTGGAATTTTCTGGAAAGGGATTTTTTGGGGGATTGTTTGGGATATTTTTCCCTTGTTCTGACGGATCCCTTGGATTCCAGGGATGATTTTGGGATTGTTTGGGATATTTTTCCCGTGCTCTGTTGGATCCCTTGGATTCCCGGGATGATTTTGGGACTTTTTGGGATACTTTTCCCCGGTTTCTGTTGGATCCCTTGGATTCCCGGGATGATTTTGGGACTTTTTGGGATACTTTTCCCCAGTTTCTGTTGGATCCCTTGGATTCCAGGGATGATTTTGGGATTGTTTGGGATATTTTTCCCGTGTTTCTGACGGATCCCTTGGATTCCAGGGATGATTTTGGGATTGTTTGGGATATTTTTCCCGGGTTTCTGACGGATCCCTTGGATTCCAGGGATTCCCAGTGCGGAATGTCCGGCCCGTGCAGAGCCCCATGAACCAGGTGGGCATCGTGCTCAATGTCCAGCAGGGCCAGACTGTCCGGCCCATCACCCTCGTGCCAGGTAATCAATCAATCAATCAATTAATCAATTAGTTATTAATAAAATAATAATCATCAATAAATAATAATGAGGATGAGAAGTGGCCGGTGCAGCGCCCCATGAGCCAGGTGGGGCCCACCCCTCCTCCTGCTAGGTAGTTAATTGACGAATTAATTAAAAAGCAATAAAATAATAATCGCTGACTAATAATTAATAATGATAAGTATGATGATGATGATGATGATGATGGTGAGGATTTGCCAGAGGAAATTTTCTGGGATTTCCCCTGCAGCAGGGTCAGATCCCGGCTCTGTGTGTGTTTTCAGCCCCGGGCACCCAGTTTGTTAAACCAGCAGTAGGGATTAATTAATTCCATTAATCCCACCTGGAAATAAACCTCCAAATCCCAACTTTTCCCAACAACTTTTCCCAACTTTTCCCAACTTCTCACAACTTTTCCCAACTTCTCCCAACTTTTCCGCCCGCTGACCACCGCGTGTTTTCAGCCCTGGGCACCCAGTTTGTTAAACCAGCAGCAGGGATTAATTAATTCCAGGTACAATTTCATAACTCAGGATCAATTCCACCTAGACACAAACCATGAAATCCCAACTTTTCCCAACTTTTCCCAACTTCTCACAACTTTTCCCAACTTTTCCGCCCACTGACTGCCGCGTGTTTTCAGCCCTGGGCGCGCAGTTTGTTAAACCAGCAGCAGGGATTAATTAATTCCAGGTACAATTTCATAACTCAGGATCAATTCCACCTAGACACAAACCATGAAATCCCAACTTTTCCCAACTTTTCCCAACTTCTCACAACTTTTCCCAACTTTTCC